AAAATCTTAAAAAAAAAAAAAAAAAAGAATGTTAGAGCCAGAACAACTTTGACATTAAGAAAATGCAATATCCAGTAACTCATTATGTTTGACTCTAACTTAGGGGTGGGAGCTGAAGGGAAAAGTATCTGCTTAGTTTAGAGAAGAACAATCTCACTGTCTTTTTCTTCCTCCTCCCTCATCCATGTTTTCTCAGATTGTGAAGTGGTCCGACTGCTGTTTGCCATTAGCTTGCAGACCTGGGGATCCTTATCAATTAATCGCTGAAGCAAGCGTGGATGACTTCAGTAAGCTGGGGGTGGCGTTCATGGAAGATAGACTCCAGATGGCTGATGGATTGGTACCTCAAAAGATTGTTTGTAAGTGACCTTAGAAATGCTTCCATCAGGGGCACCTGGTGGCTCAGTCCGAAGAGCAGGCAACTCGTGATCTCTGGGTCGTGAGTTGGAGCCCCACGTTGGGTGTAGAGATTACTTAAATCAATAAAAACTTTAAAAAAAATATTTCTAGCGTAGCAGGAGACCATTGGTTATTAGTTTACGGACTGTTGAACCCTCTTGTTCGGTGTGGCTTAAGGCTTATCTTCAGTTTAATGCAGTCAACAGGTGGATGTAATTGTAACAGTATGAGAATAATGCATGTGTTAGGTTTTTTTGAGATGCTTATCCCAAAGTATATCGATAGTGCTTTTTAAATTATTTCTTTTTCAGTGGGCTCCATGCTGGGCCCAACATGGGGCTTGAACTCAAGACCCTGAGATCAAGACCTGAACTGAGATCAAGAGTCGGACCCTTAACCCACCGAGCCACCCAGGCGCCCCAGTGCTTTTAAGATTCTTTAACAAGGATTTCCCGTAATTGCATTATCCACAAGATGGCGTGCAAATGTAGAACCCATATAATATTTGTTTCCCATAATCTAAAAAATATAACAAGTTTCTAGACTATACTTACTGTGTTCGACTGGATGGAAAACATAGCTGGTATTACTACAAAGTTCTAATTCTGACAGTTTTTTATTTAAAAAATATATATCCCAATATTTTGGGATACATCTTTTTTTCAGGAAACATGCAAAATGTTCTTTCTTAATTAGGTTTTAAAAATTGAGTTTCTGGGGGCGCCTGGGCGGCTCAGTTGGTTAAGCGACTGCCTTCGGCTCAGGTCATGATCCTGGAGTCCCGGGATCGAGTCCCGCATCGGGCTCCCTGCTCGGCGGGGAGTCTG